ATGTTCATTATCATTAAAAGGGGCAGCTCTACAAGGAAACAGAAGGAAAGCAAAGGGTGGAGGGTAGACCCAAGACATAAATGCTAGATAGAGGGGATACAAACATAAAGGAGTTAACAGAATTAAACCTCTATTTTAGTAAAATGAAATGAGAATAGAGAAGGGCAAGAGAGGTTTTTTAAATTTTGTTTTGCTGTTTTTTGTTATTTGTAATGAAAATGAAATTAGCTCCACGGAAGCTCAGAAACAGAGAAAGGGTCTAGAAGATGGCTTAGTGAGGCTTGTCCAGGTGTAGACAAACAAACCCAAACTGGGTTCCAGACAAGGGAGCAGTCTGGCTTCAGGCAGGTCACTGAGAGAGCCATAGTAACTGCTCCTATCGCCCTGGGGCTGCTTCCTTTTTTCCATATGATTTTCCAGTTGTGTCTTGTGCTTCTACTCCCCACCTCTCCACACACATTTCTTTTTTCCTTTCCAAAAAGCTAGGAGGGTAGTTCTAGGAGAAAACAAAGATTGACACTTTTAAAACACAGCTTCAGGAAATCCCCAAGCTCAGCAACTGAGCACAACAGCACAATTGACGAAGCCGTCATCGAAACAGGAACTAGCGGCCAATAAGCCACCCTCTAGGAACTAAGAAAAACCTCCAAAGGGAAAAAATAACCATACAGAGTGCAACAGAAAGTTTTACCACCATTTCTTGTGTTGTGCACGTGTGTATGAGTGTGTGTGTGTGTGTGTGTGTGTGTGTGTGTGTGCAGGAAGTTCTCTTCATAGGTAATGAATCTAGGCCAGTGATTTCCTAATGGACTTCAAAGGGTACAAGAACACCTTAACATTTATTGCAAGTATTATTATGAATATGCACCCAATGTCACAATGGGTTCATAACTTTTTTTCATATGACACTAAAAAGATCAGGAACTTCTAGAAAGTAGCATATGATTACATTTGGGCCCATGGGTCGAGTGGGTTTTCTACCACCACCAGACTTTTCTTTCCACTGTATGTCAAACAAGGTGTGAATTAAAGTGTCTTCAATGTAACCACAACAAGAAAACAACACAAAATTTATTCTTAAGACAGCAGTGGCCCTAAAAAGTGACGGAAATGCCATTTTGGGACACCCCAATAGTCATTCAGGTCAGGTATGGCAGCTGTCTTCTATTACATTGTGTTGTAGATTTGGCCAGAAATATAAGCCTAATCTACTAACATTTCTGAAACAAAATTTAGAGCCCCATTGTCCATGAATTTATCATTATAAACTCTTGAACTTATTAAAGAGAGGAACCCATATATGTTTCTCAAAATATGCTTCACAGATGTTCTACCCCTTCACCAAAAAAATACATAAATAAAAAAGTGCTAGGAGGAAGTTATCTCTCCTCTTGGAAAATTGCAAAGTCATAAGTGAACCCATATGATTTTCTTTAACTGAATATTTGCTGAACCTACTTGGGCTTGGAATTCTTTTTGTTTATTACTACCTTATGGAATACATGTTAGAATACACTAACTCAGTACAATGGGACCTGGACTTGGTTTCCAATCATCATTCTGCCACTAACTATAGGCATAACTTTTTTGATAGCACTGAGGTGTAGAACTTAGGTCTTCCAGGTTCTTGCTGAAGCTGACATCTAATGATATAACATGTCTTGGCTGATGATCTAAGATTCATTCTGCTTGTAACTGTTTTTTATGATTATACATATTCTCAAGCTCTGTGTTACCATGATTCTGCCAATAAGCTACCTTCTTTTAAAGGACACTTTGTAAGGCAAATCTCAAAGCACTAGAACTGAATGGAGTCAACAATGTAATGCTGGGTCAGCTTTATTCACTGCGATAAATACCTGCAATAAACACAAAGCCATAGACCTTAGCAATCACAGGGCAGCTGACTAGTGTCCATGTGTATCAAGGCAGCTGAGATTTTGTTTTTAGAAGCTATACAACCTTTTTGAAGCCAACAAGGTTTTACCAAGTATTATCACATGCCTTGAAGAGCAAATGCCTTTTTTCCAAGGACCAAAGTTATTCCCACAGGCATTGTTAACCTCTAGGAGAATCCGGGTCTCAGAAGAAAGGAGGGCTGATGGCCTCTCTCTCTAAAAGCTCTTTTCCTCCATAAAGTCCTGACTGTAGCTTTCCCAGGGGATACCAGAGGCCTAGGAATGCTGTAAGTACCACTTGTAAAATGCCCCAAGCTCTTGCACAATCAGTGGGGAAGCAGCCTAGGGTGAAGCATTAAGACTATGTGTGTTTTCTGCATCTCAGACGCTGGAAGCTCTATAAATTTCTGCAGGCAAAGCATGAGGAAAACCTCTTTCAAAGCAGAGGCCCCAGGGCTGCAGGGAACAGGGCCAGCAATAGGTTGGAACTTGTTCTGTAGAAGGGCTTTTCCCCAGACACCATGGTCACAACCTGTGCAACCTCATACCCACATGGGACCACACATCTGAGAAGACTGCTGTGCAGCCCAGAGAAGGAATCTTTCAAAAACAGAGCCATGTTACCACTTCTTTAGTGCCCCATGAAATCTAAACAGTTTAGGAAAGCATACCTATGTCTTCCCAGTTGAACTTTGCTTGAAAGCCTGGACTCAGTAGGTGAAGTACTAGTTTTGAGCAAGTTCCTTTACATTCTCTGGCCCTCAGTTTTCTCACCTGTAAAATGGGGATAATTGTAGCACCTATTGTGCAAGGGCTGTTTTTCAAGTTTAATGAAATGTTTGTACTTAGCCAGATGCTTGACATATTGTAAGTACCTAATAATAATAATAATACCTTGGTTGCTATTGATACTAGTCTTACCTATTGAATTCGGACTGATTTTCAGATTTCTGTAAATAGTTCCAAAGGCCAGTGCAGAGTTTAGGCTCGCCTTCCCCATGATTTGCCCATTTGTCCTCCTGCTGAACTCCTGGGCTCAGTTCTTTGTTTCCACATTGATTCCCCGCTGGCCTGCAAGTTTTTGGAGGGCAATACCCTCTCCTGCCTTCACTGTGTCAGTAGGTGCCAATCAATAAATGTCTGGTGAAAGGATAAAGGAACAAATAGCATTTCTCCTTTCAAAACAAGAGCCTGTCTGGGGCTGATCTGAGAGTCTCACTTCCTGGTTTAGCTGGCAGATGGTTGTCTATCAGTGTTGGCTCTCCAGGGAGCTGCTTAGGCGCCTTCAGTGCTTGTAGCTGAGGCTTGGTCTTGCTGGGAACATCCCAAGAAGGGACCTGAGGTCATTGATTGGGACCCCCAGGAATAGCAGAACACTAAGCTTCCCAGGGTCCCAGCCACACTGGCTCTCAGGAGAAACATGCAGGCTGACTCCAGTGGCTGTCCTGGGGGCTAAGGCAGGCTTGACCTCTGCCTCAGCCCAGAGGAGCCAAGTTTCTTCTCTTCACTGGAAGAGGCCGGTTCAGAGGAAGAGCTGACAAAAATAAAACCAACATGGCAACAAGCTGCACAGGAAGTTGCAGGTCTGTGCGCCAGAGCGGAGAGAGCCATTTGGGTTAACACACCACAAGAAAGGCTGCCTGATGCTGAGATCATAGGACCCACCCCACTCCCTTTGCATAGGAAGCTTTTTCTTTTAAGAGTCAAGCCTAGCAGACCCAGGCCCAGGGTCAGCATCTGCAGCTCAGCTGTAGGTTGCAAGCAAATGAGCAATGTCTCTGAGCCTCCCCTTCCTGTCTGTGGGTCTCCTTCAATAGTCAGGGAAGGAAGGCCACATATTTATCATGTGAACACTTGTGGCCTCCTTCCTTCACTACAGATGGAGCAGAGGACAAGGCCTCTGGTCTTACTTTAGACACATGAGGTACATACAGTCATGTACCACTAGACACACAGATACACAGCTCATTCATATATATACGGAGCTACACATACGGTACCTAAACATGTCACACACATGCACAGAACACACAGTGCATAGACTGCACCTCGCACATACTTCACACACATATACAAGCCCACACTCCTCCTAAATTGAGAACATTTATGAAGCCAGCAGCTCTATCTGTCGATGTCCGCTCCCGGCCGGCAGGAAGGACACACGACAAAGTCTGGTAGTGGACAACCTTTTCTTTTTATTTTCCTTCTCCGTACAGCCTGCCCTGGGTTCTCCCAGCTGAAGCCTCCTCTGGTCCGCTCCCCGCGGCTCCTTTTGTGCTTCAGTCTGCCCCAAAGCCTCTACCGGTCCGCTCTCCGCGGCTCCTTTTGGGCTTCTACTTCCGGGCTTCTATCTGGCTTCTTCTTCCGCCCAGGGGTGGCACCGGTATATATACGGGTACAGTGTCCAATCATGTTAAAGTAAGCAAGGCAAGCTGATTGGCTAACATCATCAGTTGCCAGGCAGACTATATTGTTGAGCGGGTTGTTTACGCGGTAAGCAGGAAACTAACATATTCGATGGGAGGGGTAATCTACCTCAGGCCTCACTCTTTACTACAGGCCTCACGTCCGCCAAGTGAGGCGACCGGGCTCGGGGCTGCGGCTCCCAACATCTCCCCCTTTTTTATTTTTTATGAATGTGCGCATCGTAGCCCTTCCTGGACTGGGTGCAGAGGCTTATGCCCTATGCGTAGGCCCACCGTAGGTCCTTGGCTTAGACCCTGGTCGGCCGTCCCATGGTCTGCCAAGGCCCTGAGGCCCTCGTCCTTTTTCTAGGGCCAGGCACAAACTGGACGGAACCTGGATGCACACAAGCTTGCACTCATTCTCTCTCCGTAAAGAAATCCCCTCGGAGAGAAATTTAGACCTGGGCAGCATCTAACAGTCCAGCGGCTTACGTGCAGGATGGGGTAGGGCCTGGCTTAGGTCGAGTCATGCTGGGGAGGCACGCTCTTACCCGTCATTGACTCATCTACCCTGCTATATCATAATTTTTTAGAGGAGGAGTGTGGGAAGCTCACCGTCCCTAGACTCGGTCGTAGGCTAGGCGAGCGAGCCATGCATATGCCTGAGGATCTTCTTGTCCATTTCGGGCTACCGCTATTTCTATTCATCTTGTTGGTTGGTCTGTGATGGATCTCCAGTAGGGCAGGTCTGATCTTTAGTCGAGGGCTTTGTTGTCCGTGTCAGTCTCTCCGGTATCCACAGTGGTTCTCGTCCCGATTCCTGTGGGAAAACACAAACCGCGCCTCGGTTCCAGCTGATTACCGGATCCGGGCCCATCCATTGTCCTGTCAGGACATCTTTCCACTTCACCCACCCTTTATGGTTGGGGGAAGGGTTGCAGTGCTCCACAGCTGGGGAGCGATTATCATTATTTAAATTTAAAAAATTGTGTGTGAATAGTGCCATGGATAATCGTGCCTTTGGGGCCAGGCCTTGGCCTACTCCCCCTTTTTGTTTTTGTAAAATTTCTTTGAGGCTTCTATGAGCCCTCTCAATGATTCCTTGACCTTGGGGATTGTATGGGATACCATGTTTTAATTGAACCTCCATCATTTTGCAGAACTCATTGAAAGCTTTGCCTATATAGGCTGGTCCATTATCAGTTTTTAATATTTTTGGTTTGCCCCATGCGGCCCAAGCTGCCAGGCAATGATTGATCACATTAGACACTTTTTCACCTGTTTCTGCTGTTGCAAATATGACGCGAGAACAGGTGTCTGTGGAAACATGAACATATTTAAGAGTCCCAAACTCCTGTATATGTGTGATGTCCATCTGCCAAACATCACCAGGGATCAAACCTCGAGGGTTTACTCCCATCGGTATGGCAGGTTTGTATGTGGCACAGGAGTCACATAGTCGCACGATATCTCGTGCATCTGCTCTAGAAACATGGAAATGGTTTGCTAGTGTCCTGGCATTAACATGAAATTTATCATGGAAGGCACGGGCTCGCTCGATTGGTGTTAGTAAGGTAAAAATCCATAACGGGCGAGTGGCAGTGTCAGCAGCCGCATTCCCCTGTGCCATAGGCCCTGGCAGGGATGTATGTGCTCTTATGTGAGTGGTGAAGACCTTATGGTGTCTGTTCTGAAGCAATGTCTGGATAGACAGGAACAGTCCAGCCACTGTGGAAGTGGATCTAATTAAACTGGCAGTCTCAAGCACTTGCATAGCATTGACCACATATCTAGAATCGGAGACAATGTTAATGGCTTCTGAGAACCGTTCAAGAATCATTTTAACGATCTGCAGTTCTACCACCTGAGGCTGATCTGGTTTAAATTGTATGGTAACCGGGGGCTTGCCTAGGATCACATAGGCGCCTATCCCCGTCTTGGAGCCATCTGTGTATATTGTAGTTGCTGGGACTAATGGCTCAGAGGCAGTAACCTTTGGAAAAATTATAGGGTGCTGAGTGACAAATGACAAGATAGGGTCTTTAGGGTATTGATTGTTTATATCCCCATGGAAAACACATCTCAGAATGGCCCAGGTATCTATGCAGGCAGCCAGGGTCTTGATCTGGCTGGCGGTATAGGGTACTCGGATGGCTTGTGGTCCTGAGCCAAAATGTTGGACAGCTGTATCATGCGCTTCAAGGGCCAATGAAGCGACTGCCTCCGGGTAATGCTCTATGACTTTTGCAGGTGAGACCTTAGGGTGTATCCACAGTAATGGTCCTTTCTGCCAAATCACCGCTGTGGGCTGTAGACTAGTCTGTAGCAAACAGACATCAAAGGGTCGCCCTGGTTCAATTCTGTGTAAGGTAGCCCCACCTAAGGCTTTTTCCACTCTCTGTAAGGCAGCTCTTGCCTCAGGAGTGAGCCTCCTGTGGGAGGCTATATCTGGGTCTCCCTTCAGAAGGTCGAACAGGGGTTTGAGATCTGAATTTGGTATATGTAAATATGGCCTAATCCAATTAATGTCTCCCAATAGCTTTTGCATGTCATTTAGGGTCCTAACGCCATCCGTCCTAATGGTGATCTTCTGTATAAGTCTGGAGGCGACACTGAGGTCCACACCTGCTGACCCAGGGGTGGCCCTTGTTGAAGGCTGCCACCCTGAGCTGTCCTGTCTCTGGGGCGGGGGCCCGCCTGTGAAGGGGGCCCCCTCTGGCCGTTTTTTGGCTCTCTAGCATCTTGTCCACAAATACGGTTGCCCTGAGCATCAAAGACCGACCCACACTCCTCAGCTTTGTGTGATCCCTTTTTGCATCGCCCACAAACATATGGTTCTTCATTCCTAGGGCGAGGCCTAGCATCTGCATTGTTTGGGCAATGACGTTTAATGTGTCCTGGCTCCCCGCAGGCAAAACACCCTTTAGCCTTACATTCCCCTTCTAACCCGCGAGGTCCCCTCTGCTGTACAGCCGCGGCCAGGAGAGCAGCCACTCCCGAGTTGGAGAGCGGCCCCCCTATCTCTCTGCATATCCTAATCCAGGCGTTGAGGTCCTTGTTCTTATGAGGAGCTATCGCTGCCTTGCACTCCTTTGTACATTGCTCAAAAATCAGCTGTCTTACCAGCGGTTGAGCCACTCCCGGATCAGGAAATATCTTATCGGCAGCATCTTGCATTCGGGCCACAAAGTCAACAAATGGCTCTGTGGTACCCTGAATTATTTTTGAAAGACACAAGGAGGCAGTTCCGGCACCACTTACCTGTTTCCAGGCGCGGAGCCCTATGGCATTGATTTGTTCATAGACAGCGCCGGGGAACTGGGTCTGGTCATCAGCGTGCCGACCTTCTCCCATAAGCATTTCTTTGTTCCACCCCCGGTTTCCCCGATTGGCGTTTCTCTCAGCCTGCTCTGCAGAGAACTCTGCGTACCAGGCTCGCCAATCCAGGTAACTGCCCGAGGGCAGACACGCCTTTGCCAGCTGAATCCAGTCCGCGGGGGTGAGGGGCCCAGAAGACAGATTCTCCAGCATGGCAATGGTGTAAGGCGCAGTCGGCCCAAAGGTTGTAACTGCATTTTTAAGTTCTCTAATCTGCTTTATCTCAAAAGGCTCCCATACATTGCGTCCCTGGCCCATAGCTACTTGTACAGGAAATATCTCGTAGGGGCCACTATCTATCCCAGGTGGATGTACCTCATGAGACAAGCGTCCCCCCTGCCAAAGCCGCCTGTAAAAATACCGACCCGCCGGCGGCGGAGCATAAGACGGCGGCCGTGATTGGGCGGAAAATGGGGGCCCGTGCATCACTTCCTGTTCTGGCGAAAGGGGAGGGAGCTCCCAGGCGGCCGCCTCGTGGCGAGGGACCGCCTCCCTCTCGCGCCGGGGCGCACTCAGGAGCTCTCTACTCCTCCGCAGACCAGGTTGAGCAGAGCGCAATTCGCGGCGTGACGCTGGAAAAGAACCCTGCGACTCCTTATTGAGCGACTTAGGCTCCTGACAGCTGGTCTCTTTGGCCTCCCTGCCATTCAACTTTCCCTCGTCCTCGGAGTCAGACGACTCCGAGGCTAGAGCCCCGTCCTCCTCCTTAGCATCCTTGTTCCCCTTGACAGACACCTCTCGGGAGCTCCCTGACTGGGCCTGCTCAGATACCCTGCGTACTTTTGTAAGCTCTTGAGAGCTTTCTCCACAACCACCCTCGCTCTTAGTGCCGCTACCTAGCATGTTTCCCATTTTTTAATATGTTACTCACCGCGTGAGGCCCAAGGAATCCGCCACTTACGCGTGAGCCTGAGGGGAGTCTAAAAGCCCTGTAGGTGCGCGCCACCCAGAGCCCAGGCTTATCCCCAACTCACCTGTCTCGCAGCTCTGTACTGGAGCGTTGTCCACTTCCACGTCTCGGGGGTGATCAGTCCCCGGGCGGGCCTCCAAATGTCGATGTCCGCTCCCGGCCGGCAGGAAGGACACACGACAAAGTCTGGTAGTGGACAACCTTTTCTTTTTATTTTCCTTCTCCGTACAGCCTGCCCTGGGTTCTCCCAGCTGAAGCCTCCTCTGGTCCGCTCCCCGCGGCTCCTTTTGTGCTTCAGTCTGCCCCAAAGCCTCTACCGGTCCGCTCTCCGCGGCTCCTTTTGGGCTTCTACTTCCGGGCTTCTATCTGGCTTCTTCTTCCGCCCAGGGGTGGCACCGGTATATATACGGGTACAGTGTCCAATCATGTTAAAGTAAGCAAGGCAAGCTGATTGGCTAACATCATCAGTTGCCAGGCAGACTATATTGTTGAGCGGGTTGTTTACGCGGTAAGCAGGAAACTAACATATTCGATGGGAGGGGTAATCTACCTCAGGCCTCACTCTTTACTACAGGCCTCACGTCCGCCAAGTGAGGCGACCGGGCTCGGGGCTGCGGCTCCCAACATCTATCAATTCTTCCCCTCACTGTTCCCTAACTAGAAGCAGATTATCTTCCCCTTAACTGTTTCTGAGCCACAGTCCCTCTCAACGGACTCTAAATCTGGTGACTTCTTTTTCTCTTGTTAGTCCAGAGCCATCTGACACCATTGTCTGGGAGTTCTGTGTAGCTGTAGACTTTTATCGCCTCATGAATCTAGGAACCCAGGATGTGTTCACAAAACCTCACAGGACACCACCATGTACTGAGTAGCTACTGTGCACCAGCTCCTCCACATCTGCACACCTTCATCACACTCAGCAAGAAATTGCTGGTGTCTCCTTCACATAACCAACAAAGCCAATGAGGCTCAGAAAAGTACAAGAACAAAACTGCCCAGGGTCTCACAAGCAGTAATGGGCAGAACTGGAATTTGAATCTAAACAGTTTACTGGTCTGAGTGTTCCACTGCCCACGCCAGCCTGGTGAGATTGAGCCCTCGAGGAGTTCCTCATCCGTTACCCTGAATGCTACCAGGGCACAGCTTTCCTGTTTCCCCCTGACTTGTCCCCTCAGGCAGCAGGCTGGAGGCCTCCACCTCCCTCGCTCCCACGGGTGTGGCCAACACAAATTCCTCATTAGAAAACGCTGTGCCTTCTGGACAAAGGCACTGTGTGACAATCTAGTACCTTCTCGATAGACTTCTGTGAGGAGGCTGACAACAACTTCTCCAGCCACTGAGCCTGCAAATGTACCAGAGTCAGTTACCACCAACCTCGATGCCTCAATCCTTCCAGGCCCAGCAGCAGGGCAACTGGATCTTTAGGGGCTGGAGCTGGGGGTTCCTTCACAACAGAAAATGGTCTTCCGTGTCAGGCAGATCTAGGTTAAACCCAGCTCTGTCACCTTCCATCTATCAGACTTGAGCAAAGTGATTTCTCCTGCTGGAACCTCAGCTCCTTGGCAATAAAGCTATCAACACCTACTGTCCCCAGCGCAGTGCTTGGGTTTCAGTCTTCCGGTCTCTGAATGCTAGAGTTGGACCACATGACCTTTACACTCCTGTAGAAACACAGCTTCAGGCTAGAACAGAGGTGTCCATCTTGCTCCTGGGTATAGCGGGGAATTAGATACCTTGTGGTTTCTCTCAGGGTGAACTCAGCCCTGAGGAAGGCTTCTGCTTTATTTTGACACAATTTTATTGACTACCCACAATCCATGTAAGATGAAAGTCTTGGGGAGTGAATGTAAACAAACACAAGCCCTGCCCTTCGGGAACACACAGACTAGACTGATAGGAATGATAAGACCCATAAAAATAAGTGCTGTGTAGCTTGGAAAGTGGTAAGTGCCTGGGGTAAGAGTACAGATATAAGGCTCTAAACGCTGAGAGCAGAGAGGGGGTGATTCCCTGGAGAAAGAGCTCACATGTGGCCAGTCCGTGAAGGGTAGGTTAGACACAAAGAGGACCAACATTGACAAATCAGAACCACAGTTTTGGAACTTTTTGTTAGTCCTCTGCCATCTGCAGGAGCCAGGCTGTAAAATCCCTTAAAGCCGTAGATCATTTCCCACTTTTTCCCTGAGGGTCTCTTTCCCTGGGTTGAAGAGTTCAGGGTTTGCATGAATGCGCAGTAGCCCAGGCTGATCCTTGTGCTTGGCCATGAAAGTGCTGCCTCCTGATACCCAGTCTCTTCCTTTGCACCAGCCATTATTAAGTGTGGGGATGAGGCATGTGGAGCCGGGGGGCAGGCACCCAGCTCAGGGAAATGGTGTTGATTCCGACTGCAATAGACCACGTCCCTGGTACCCTCGCTGTCCCACCAGCTTGCCTATGCCCAGATCTCAGCATTCTGAGGAGTCAGCCTGTAGAGGAAAGGAAATATCAGTGAGGAACAGTTGGTTTAAGTCACCTGACTAGGGTGTGTGTGTTCAGGACTAGATGTTTTGCAGTTGATTTAAATCTGGATCAGAATTGTGCAGCCCTCAGCACACTGCTATCTACAAAAGATAAGCTCGAACAATCCCCTGCAGGACCCAGCTGCCAGAGAACCAGCACTCTGCATGTAAACACAGCTACTTGCCAGACTCTAATGCCAGGTGAAGAAGCCTCTGTTATTAGCAGAAGGGATCCAGGTGGATCACAGATGGGGCTAAGCCTCCCACAGAGGCAAGGGTCTCTAGATGGCCCACTGTTCTGGCAAGAATCGAGGAGGGGCCCCGGGGTGCTCTGGCCCAGCCGAGTTTTCTCCACTTGGCTCATCAAGGCTGAATCTCCCCACCACAGAGCAGAAGACAACCCCACACTGCAGCGCTTGCTATGTAACACAGGCTGCCATGTCATTGTGTCTCACTGGCAGCCATCTCCTCCTGTGCGATGTGGGGCTAGTGCAGTGATGCCCCATTGATGTGGAGGCCGGGAAGAACCCCCCACAGACTTGTGAGTGAGTGCAGGAGACTGGTGTATCTGTCATCTCTCTCCTTCCTTATGCACCCTACTCACCAGATCTGGTACCATGTGACTCCTGGCTCTTTCCCAGAGTCAAAATGAGCAAGACAGGTAAACAATCCACTCAGGGCAGTCAGTCAGCCACAGCACTAAAGCTGAAAATATGAAGAAGGACTTCCAGGAAGTGGCAAGAATAAAGGGATATGGCTGTTTGAAGCAAGGAGTAGTATTTTGAAGGTGATTCATGGCATTGTGTATTTCACTGTGATAACTTTTTTTCAGTTTAATCATTTTGTGATCACATCTTATAGTTTGTGTAGAAAAACAAGAAAATGCACATGAAAAGAGAGCCAATTTTAAAATGGCTGCAAGCCAGGCATGGTGGCATACACCGGTAATCCCAGCACTTCGGAGGCTGAAGCAGAAGGATTGATATGAACTCGGGGTCAGCCTGGGCTACACAGTGAGGTCAAGGCCAGCCTGAAGTACATAGCAAGACCCTTTCCAAAAATAAATAATAAATAAATAAAAACATTGGCAATCCCTCTGTGCAGAAATAGCCAGCATTAGCATTCTACTAATAACCAGTTTTAACAAGTTGTCAAATTATTTGTATAAATGACTACATTAGTGGGATCGCACACTGACCTTTTTTCAATGGAAAAAGTTATCATCCTGGCAATGCTCTTGGACTGAGGAGAAAAGAAAAAGCCCATCTATGCTGGGATCCGTTTCAAATACAAATTCCTAAAATATTACAACTATACATGTAAATAATTGCAGCCACAAAATGTATTATAAAATAACACAGGAGACTACGTAACATCAGAGATCACTTATGTAATACAGGAAATGCAGAAGCCAAAAGGACAAAATAGCAGATTTGAATACTGGAATATTTTGAACTTCAGTGTGATGAATGGCAGCAAAAATACAGTTAAAAAATGGTAGATTTCTGTGAAACATTAGCAACATTTAACAGACAGAGGATTAACACCCCTTATCTCAAGCCCAGACCTATAGAACCCAGTATCTGCTTGAGACCGACTCCCATCCTACGCCTGCATGCTTCCAAGCAGTTTCTTTTCTGTTAACAGATATCTATGCTTAATGTACAAAGAGTGCCTACAAGAAAGAACAACTTGAATATCCAAACAGAAATGGGCAAGGAATATAGAGGAAAAAGAGAAGAACAGTAGCCAACGAACGTGAAAAGATGTTGAACTTCATTGCTGTCAAGGAAATTCAAAAACTAGAAAATTGTTCAGGGGCTGGGGATTTAGCTCAGCAGCATAAGCGCCTGCCTTGCAAGCAGGCAGTTGTGAGTTCGATCCCTGGTACCAATAAAAACGAAAAAGACAAAAAAAAAAAATTGTTCAAACCTGGTGCTTGCAAGAATATACAGAAATGAGCATCCCCAAACACTGCCAGTGCAAGTGTCAATTGGTACAACTTTTGGAGGAAGATGATTTGGTAGAAGCCACTTGAATTTTAAATGTGTGTACTTTATGACTGAACAATCCTACTCTCAAGGGATGGAAATTATGTATATTTACAAGTATGCATGTCCATTGCAGTAAGGTTTGTAATAGAAAAACATCTGGAACAAGCTAAATATCCATCAGAAGTTTATTACTATATATTAATTACTATATATTCACATTAAGAAATACTATTCAGTCACTAAAAATAATAATATAGGTGCTGACTTGAAATGATACATATGATATGGTACTGAATAGAAATAAAGCAAGTGAAAGACCACTATTGCAAGTAATATTTGGTTTATGAAAAAAATATGCACATATTTATATTTGTGTCAGTTGTATAAATCTTGGAAAAAAGTCTGGAAGTATTTGAACCATGTCCAGGGAGTTTGGTACTTTTTGTTTACCTTACTGTTTTTGTTTGTTTGTGTTTTTAAACAGAGTCTTACTATGCCATTCAGGCTGGCCATGAACTCACAGCACTCTTCCTGCCTCAGTCTCCCAAATGCTAGGATTACAGGTGTGTACCAACATGCCCAGCTGGATTTGGTTGTTGGAGAAGAGGGATTTTGCCCTTTTTAAAAAACTCTGTGTGTGTGTGTGTGTGTGTGTGTGTGTGTGTGTGTGTGCTAATTGTTATTGAACCCATGGCCTTCACATTGAGCTATATTCCCATTCCCTTATTAGATTAAACAATTGAGACAGGGTCTCACTGAGTTACAAAGGCTTGCTTTGAACTTGTGATCCTCCTGCCTCAGCCTACCAACTAGCTTGGGTTACAGATGTGGCCCACCACATCTATCACTTTTCTATCTTTTTAGTCAGTTCAGTCATTAGCCCACTTTATACTTATGTTTGCTGAGGCTCGTAGAAGTTGTCATTCACCCAGGTCAGCGACAGAGGCGCTGCTAAGTGGCAACACCAGGACATCAGGCGAGGTTCAGTAGGGCCCAGGCCCTCATTTATTTCACATTACCAGGCTGCTCCCCAGCTGTGCATTAGCAAGCACAGCTTACAGGACTCTGTCTGAGCGTCTAAGGATTTGGGCTGACAGAAATGAATCTATGGCTAGCCCTAGAGCCATTTCTTGGCTGGATCTTGGCCACAGAGTGCCAGTGCTGAGCTATGGGGACGTCTAGGGGAGGCGCTCTGCTCCCACACTGTGCTCCTGTCCCAGGATCCTCAGAATCCACGCCAGGTGCTGGAGTGAGGCCTGGTCTCTCTGGGCTACTCTTCTCTTTGAGAAAAAGTTACAGTCTATGTGAAGTTCCCCACCTCCCTACCTGGAGACCCACGAAGGACCAGACCACTACTAACCCATGTTGTCTTACACCAAAGGCGCTATGGCCTCTGTGGACTGCGACACCTCCCTGCCCCCTTGGGGCCCTTCATTTGTGCAGTGTAAAAAGGCAACACTCCCAAGGCCTTGCCCACAGGTTTTCTGAGAGAACCAAAGGAGGTTTTTGTGGACTTGCCTGAAGGCCACGGCCATAAAGAAGACAGATTCTGAACTTGAAAGAATGAAGCTTGTCAACTATGGAGCCTCCTGGGAGGGCCAACCCTGCACCTCTGCTGGATTAAGATGTCCTTGAGCCCACCAACGCACCCTGCCAGGCATGACAGCTACTATAACTCAGGGCAGTGCTGCCCCAGCCCCTCGCCTTGTTTTTCCTGTGCTGGTGCTGCTTTTGGCTAACCCTCTGGCCTCCTGCCTGAACCAATATGACAGTGCCGCCCTATCCTGGTTGACATTCCGGACTTGGCTCCTCCGCTGCTGGTCTTGTGATGCTCACCTGACCCTACCTTCCTCATACACCCTTCCGGGACTGCTCACACAGAGCGCTTCTGGGGAGCCGTGGCCAAGGTGACCTACCAACAAGCTGACACATACAAAATTCTACAGCTAAGAAACATTCTAAGGCTGTCAGAGTTACTCTGGCTCATCATCCTGCCCAGCCTCGTACACAGGCTGGTCAGTCACCAGCGATCTCCCATGAGGAGCTGGTGACTGAATACTGAAGGAAATATTCCTCCCCTGCCACATGCGACAGCTTAAGTCCCTGCAGGTAACCCACTTGAGAAGGGGTTGAGAGCTTTCCTGTAAATGATAAACTAGTAAATAGTTTAGTCTTTGTGGCCAAGAGGCACACTGTGGGTTCTTATGTGGATACTTAAAAGCAAAAGAGAAAATAAATTTCTCTGAGATTCCACTGATGAAATCAAAATAGAGTGCAATAGTATAACTCTTTGGTAATAAAGGTCTCCTAATAAAAAGAACAAAATTCTGTTTTGAGGAATAACATTTTGCTTCATTGGAATTCAAAGTGTCTTCTGTCATTAGAATCGATTGCAAATGGTCATCGGTTCTTGCTGATGTGTAATGAGGTTTTATGTTTGAAAATGACAGGTGAATTTCACATAATTTGTACATGTCATAAAAGACTCTTTAAAAATGATTGTAGCTTGCAGGCACCATAAAAACAGGCAGTGGGCTGGATTTGGCTTCAGGCTATAGTTTATTAATCCTTGTAGGGATACAGTAGGATATTCTCATTCTTTTTAAAAAATTTTTTGGCTTCTGCCCCTGCCTTCAAAATCCTGCACTTTCTACCACCTTAGGCTTCCAAGGCAGTCTCATTCCCTGCCCTAGTGCCCCTTCCTTCTCAAAAAGGAGGACAGGGCTGGACCTAACAGCTCCACAGAAGTGCTCCCTGGGACTTCGTTATTGCTCAACCACCACAGCAGTGCAGAATGGAGTCAGAGCTGCTGCCAGCCTTTCCCCTTTCCAAGGCTGGTGTTAGCTTGGTCAACGGCAGGACAACGGCTGAGAAGGGCTCGCTTGTGGCTTCTCTCCACCCCAAACCACAGAAGAGGAGAGGCCTTCAAGAAGCTGGGTGAATGGGAAATAGTCGTGCTCACCCAGTGCTTCC